GGCGGCCGCCCGGGGAGCCGTACTCAGTGGCCACCATGACGGCGCGGAGCGGCGCGCCACAACCCGGCTCACGTGACCGCACTCCGCCGTGGAGGGCGGGGCCGAGGGAATCGGGGGCGGGGCCCAGACGGAGGGCGTGGCATGGGCGGGGTCGAAGGTTCTGGGACAGACACTGTTTAGAGATGGGCGGGGCGGACTGGAAGAAGGGTGGGGCCTGATGGGGCGTGGCCTACGTCAAATCTTTCCGGGATGGGCGGGGCCCAGAATGAGCCGCAGGGGCTGACTTGATCTTAAAGAGCCCTTCGACTCGCTCCACCCTCACAAGCCCAACATTTAAAGTTTTATTGGCGTACAATTAAATAGTTCAATCACTTTAAAAACAGTGGTAGAGCCATCCCAACAACCAATTTTAGAACATTTTCTTCTACCTTGTACTCCTTGTAATCAGCAAGCTTTTGAAACCAACGGAAAAGTTTCAAAAATAGAAAATTAACTATCTATACACTTGTCATCCATATCTAGTATTTTGTCAGAGCAGATTAATCTCTCTATGTATATATAGAAACATATACTCACACACACATACACACATGATAAGTTAAAAAATATATTACTATTTGGGCTAAAATTCATACATGCACTGGTTTATTCCCAACAAGGCATGTTGAAATAAGTTCTCTCAGTAATGCCCTTGTCTCTATGGGAGAAAAATGACGGTGGCTAGTTTCAGAAACCCACAGGGCCAAGTACCCTGTCCTATAGGGTCCCGGTCAGTTAGAATTGACTTGACGGCACTGAGTGGGTGGGTGGGGCGGGGGTTAGTAAGAGGAGCCCTTACCTTACCTACTGAAGGTTACCAGTGAAGGTTACCCACTGAAGCTGCTGATCTCAAGGTCAGAGGTTTGAACCCAGCATTCTCTCCAAGGCACTCAACTCAAGGGCAACTAGCTGGCGGTATTCATTAGAGACAAAACAGAAGAATAGAAACCACAGCAAAGTTGTCTGGAAGCCCTTGGCGATAGGGGGAGAGCTGGCTTGTGTGTGTCCCTCTAGACTGCTTTCCATGCCTGCACATAAGCGATGTGTGTAAGAAATAAAATGTGGGTTTGAATGTCTAAGTGGGTTTAAGTGCTTTTTTTTTTAATTTTTAGTGTTTCATATTGTTTTAGTGCCACTGATCCATGGTGTTAAACGTTTTACAGAGCTGTGTGGTGGAGGAGGTATTTGTAAATTACTTACCTAGTCCCCTATGGTTGGGCACATATGTTGTTTCCAGTGTTTGCCTAGCTGGGAGGTCCCTGTAGTAAGCATTGCTGTGGTCCAAACATTGACCGACTCCTCTCTCTCTCTCTCTCTCACTCTCTCTCTCTTTCTCTCTCTGTTCCCTGACTCTTCTCTTAATTTACTCCAGAAAAATTCCAGGAGCAGAACGGGGGCTCAAGGGGAGCATGTGATTTCAAGGCTGGTAAAATTAGCATTTATCAGTTTGGGACCAAATCATCTTCCAGAAATATTCCTGTTGAGATGCGTCTCCAGAAAAAACACTGAGAAAATGTCCACTAAATAGTTGTGAGCTGGTTGTTAACTGTAATCAGTGGCTGCCTCGTGAGGCCGTGGGCCCCCTGTCCCTGGGAGAGTTCAAGTAGGGGCTATGTGATTATTTGCCCACAGCGGAGCCCTGGTGGTGCTAACTGAAGGGTCAGGGGTTCGAACCCACTAGCGACTCTGCAGGAGGCAGATGGGGCAGTCTGCTTCCAATTTACAGCTTTGGAATCTATGGGGGCAGTTCAATGCCATCCTATCGGGCCACGAGGAGGAGGAATGGCTCGCCGGCAATGGACATCGATTTGGTTTGTCCGTGATCAAGGGGAGACTCCCATTGGTTGAAGGTGGGGCTCCAGGTCCTTTCCAAGTTTCAGAATCAGGCAGAACTAGAGATTTTAGCCTTTTAGGCGAATACTGAAAGCTAAGCTATCTCTGTTCTTTCCTCTTTTAAGTTCTCCTTACCACTTACTGCTTCTCTCCCCAGCACCTTGCTTTGTCCCAGAGCTGCCGCCCACACCTTGAGCCTCCGGAACAGGCATGCTGAGTCACAAGCAGACCTGGCCTTCCGCTGTGAATGAAGTCAGGCTCTCCAACTGCGCTGGCAAAGGGGATTCCACTGGGGTCGCTCCGACCTGGCTGCAAACCCAATCTCTGTCACCTCCCAGGAGGGTGGGGCCCTTTCGTCTCCCCAGGCCTCGGTGGTCCTCCTTTTCAAAATCGAGATCACTGGAGCCCTCACCCCATGAAGGAAGGGGGCGGGTCAAAGAGACAAGCACACTGTCAACTCCTTTTAATGAAGGATTTAGCACAGACCCAAACCAGGTGCGGTCAAGTGGATTCTGACTCTGGGCGGATATCCCCATGCCTTTCAGGGTGGAACCGTGCCCCACGGGGGGGGGCTTTTATGGATGCGCTTTTAGGAACCGGGTCTCCAGGCCTTTCTTCTGTGGGGCCTCTGGGGGGGGGGGTTCCTAACTTCAAACCTTTCAGTTAGCAACGGAGCCCATGAGCTATTTGTGCCTAGGGATTCCTCTTCAGGAAAGAAGCAGCCCGTTCTGTGTTTTGTTTTTAATTAAGACATTTCATTGGGGGCTCTTACAGCTCTTATCACAATCCATACATCAATTGTATCAGGCATATTTGTACCTATCGCCATCATTCTTTTCTAGACATTTCACTTTCTATCGAGCCCTTAGTATCAGCTCCTCTTTCCCCCTCCCTCCCCTGGCGACCCCTTGATAAAAGATAAATGATTATTATTTTCATATCTTACACCGACCGCTGTCTCCCTTCCCACACCGTTACGCTTTTTTGTTGGCTTGGGGCTTGTTCATGAGATGTTGAGTGGACAGGTAAGCCTTCACTCGACTAAAACACTAAAAGAAGAAAAAGAAAGATACTCTGGGCAGGACCAGCTCCTGTGGGATGCGGACGCGACTGTTCACCCCCGGGGATTGGTGAGTCCTTTGCATCTCTATCTTCTAAGTCCATCGGACCTCACTGGACCTCAAGTATCCACCACTAGGAGTTGTTGGCGGCGAACAGAAAGGCTGTCAGTTTCCATCCATCTGGTGACCCCAAGGGAGAAAGGACCAGTGATGTGTTTTTGTAAACAGTCTCACCTACAAAGCCACTAGGGGGCAGTTCTGCTGCTCACACGGGGGCTGCTGTAAGTCACAGTCCACTCAACAGCACCTAACGGCCGCTGCCTTCTCGAACCCGTGGAGTAAGGCAAACTGCGTTCTCTGCATGTAACCACATCGGGTCTTATCTCACGTACCCTGACAGGACTCTGACACACTTCCCACGGAGAGGCCAGTCGAGGTTCCCTCTTCTTGACTCTAGGCAGACCTGTGACTATGTCACGCGAGTGTCACTTCCTCGTCTAGCCATCCGGGACCACATGGCATCCACTTGTTTCCGGAAGCCCTTGCACATCCCAGGAGCATGCTTCTGCCCTGAGGCTGCTGGGCTCAGAAATGCGCTCACGTGGTCTTACCACAGAGAGCAGACTATGAAATACCCAGGCAGCCCCCAGCTACCATTTGACTGCAACCACAGAGAGCCTAGGAAAAACCGGCCAGCTGAGCCCTTCCTCAGTTCTCTGCACCCACAGAAACATTAATAGAGGCACACCGGTTTTTTTTTTCTTTTCTCTCTGCACTTCACTTGACTGGACTTCACAGAAATTGTTTTGTTTTGTTTTGAATTGGAGGTTTGTGGCAACCCTGTGCCAACCAAGTCTACCAGTACCACTTTCCCAATAGAATGTGCGTGCTTTGTGCTCACATGTTGGTCAGTCTCCCAAGACTGGAAACTTCTGCGTAATGGTACTGCACGCTTAATAGACTACAGTCTAGTATCACCCTCATTTCTGTCCTCGCTGGGAAGCCAAACACTGTGTGTGGCTCACTACCTTGCTGGGACCAATCTGGCAATATCCTGAGCATGTTGTATCAGGATGTTTTGGCGTGCCGAAACAGATAGCGGATCCAAGCACAGAGTCCTCCTTTTAAAGGAAGGGAAAATTAACGTTTGCATAGACTGTGTGCCGGAAACCGCGCCAGGTTCTTTTACTCGCTGGTTTTAATGAGGATGATGGCAATAATGTGATGATGATAACAGAAATAATGGCCCACCCAAATTCACAGCCAGCGGGGTGATTCTGACTCACAGCAACTGTGGTAGTTGCATCATCTGTTGTCAATTTGAGACTGAAGAGTGAAGGGGTGGAGTTTAGCCTGTCAATCAGGCTGCAGCTTGATGACCTCATTTGGAGGCGCTCAGGAGATAAATAGCTCGTTGGAGGCGGGACCCACATGCACACTCCTGCGAGACATGCTTGCTGATAAGACACATGGAGCTACGTTAGAGCCCTGGAGCTGAAAGTTACGTGGAGACCCCTGACAGGGCTGAGATGCCTCTACTGCTATTGGACCCACAAGAGTTTCCACCCACTAGTCTGTGATCTTCCTGCATTCGGCATCATTGCATGTGTTGCGTGAGTCTGAAGAGGAATTTATAGATTGGTATGGGGCATATGGGCTAACATCGGACTTAGGGACTTGATCTGGACTGGGCTGGGATGTTTTCTCAATATTCAATTGCTCTTGTATATAAAGCTCTTTCTTTCTTTCTTCCTTTCTTCCTTTCTTCCTTTCTTCCTTTCTTCCTTTCTT